CCTAAAAACAAACACAATCGTTTAATAGGGACATGTTTTTTATATAGGATGCACAAGGATGAACCAACAAAAACACAAATAACTAGTTAATCTTCCTCAAAAAAATGCGTTCTTATCTCAGTAACTATAAGTTCCATACCCATGTTATCAAGACCGGGTGGTGATCGAACCAATCTTTCAGCACTTGGAATAAAAGTCAGTATAACTTTGATAACCCTTTTACCTAGCCAAAAAAGACGTGTGTGTGTAGCTAATGAGAGAGAGCGAGAGGAGTATGTGTATATACCCATATTAATCTGTGCATATATATTTTATCTCTCCATCAGAATAACTAATGAGTACTCACATTTTATCATCATATGTAGCTTCTCCTGTATCCCTACGTTCCTTATTCCATTTAATACAAAAGCTTCCTTCTGTATCACAATATAACTGCAACATAAAGGAAGAAGAGGTGCATAAGGAAAACCATGAAAAAGCGTGAGGACTGAGAACAATATGCCTGGTGGCCAACATGCATTCGTAGGAAAAATATCACAGAAATCTGAATTAAATTAAGTTGTCATTTTTTATGCTTGCAAACCACAAGAAGTCAGTTTCTTAAGTATATTTCGCATGACTTAAGAATATTATTATATATAGAATTTCCAAGAAAGATGTTATAAAGAAATGTATTATATACATATAATAGGTAGACACGACATTGCAAGATATAGTAACATCAAAATAAAAGCACGTCCAAGTTCAAATAAAATAAAGCACCCTCAAGCACATCAATAAGTAGCATAGTACAAATTGAAAATAAAACTCACATCATTTTATTACACACCAACAGTTCTAACCAAATGTCGTAAGGAACAGTCCTTAAATGGGTTACAAAGCCAATACAATCCATTGGATAGGAAAAGTGGAAAACTAGCCTAGAACCAGCCAATCCTATAATAAAACAAGAAAAACTAGAGAGCTAGAAAAGACCAGTTGAACCTGCTAGTCGTACCATTAGAACGTTGTTTTTTTGGAAGTGTTAACTGTTGTATTGCTAAGAGGTATACAGTGTACAAAAAATGGGACACCCTAAAGGCGGTGTGCCAATAAAAAAAACCCTAAGGGGTCCAAAAAATGCTATACAAGCATCGATACAAAAAGAGATACAATGAACGCTTAGATCTCAAAAAGGTTATCCAAAGGCTCTGTGACAATCTGCTGTGAGGCTCCTTCTTTAGCTAGGGCATCGGCTTCTGTGTTTTACTCCCTTCAAATAAGCCAAAAGACCACAGATTATATCCCTGCATATGCGAAAGATTTCGTAAAAAATGCGAGCCATTCTTCAGGGGTAAGGTGACAATCTAGTAGCCCAAGCTATGACATTTTTTGAGCCGCTCTCTATAACGAGTGAGCTACTCCAGGAGGGATCGAATTTGCAAAGGCCCATGAGGAGGGCCAGAGTTTTGGCCACCAAGGAGTTGGTGTTTCTGACGAAGAGAGAGAAGGAGAGAATGGTGTTGCCACTGGAGTCTTTGAAGAAACCCCCTGTTCCAGCAGGACAAGAGTTGCCGAGGGAGCAGCCGTCGAAGTTGAGCTTCACTTGGCCCAGCTCAGGTGGTCTCCATAAAGAGGAACGGGAGATCCTAGCCAGTCCAAGGGACAACAGGTTTCTCCAATTAAGGTGGAAGTCTGAGACGGAGCAATGCAGGAAGGACTTGTTATTTTTTGCCCAAAATGTGACTAGGGATGTCACCTTTTGGAACAAGGTCTAAATGGTGGAGGATTCCCCTCTAAAGATCCAGCAGTTGCGCTCCAACCAGATGACCCAAAGTGTGGTAGGGCAGTGGATGCTCTCCACTGGCAGATCCCTTGTTTGGTTCAGGGAGGAGAGAGAAAAGCCTGGATGAGTTGTGGGATAGCAGAGGGAACCCAACCGAAGAGTTGGAGCAGCTGGCCCCACAGGGCAAAAGCGACCCGGCAATGGATGAAGAGGTGTGGGTTTGTTTCCTCATCCTCCAAACACATGGAACAATGGCTAGGGATTTTGTGGCCCTTCTTTGGAGCTGGTCTACGGTAAGGGCTCTCTCAGAGAAGGTGTTCCAACTGAACACTTGGATCATGCGTGGAGTAAGAGAAAAACAGGTTCTGGCCACTAAGGAATGATGATGATTGAGAAAGGGTAGGCGTTGGAGAGCTTTGTAGAATGAAGAGACCGAAAAAGTGCCTGTGGGGGCTGGGGACCAGATTGGTTGGTCATTCCCCTGGGCAGAGAGGAAAACAGAGTGGAGAATAGTGGATAAGGCAAGGAAGTCTGGGATTTCTAAATCTGAGAGTGGTCTTCTGAAGCTGGGATTCCACACCCTATTATGGCCCAACAATTGAAAGCAATCTGCCACAGAGACATGAGGGTCCCATGCCACGCTGAAGGGGGTGTGGCCTGGCCACAGGTGGGACCAAGAAAGGACCTGATGTCCTTCTGGGGGGTGAAGACGAAGCTTTGTCTGAGAAAAAGGGGGAGGCAGCGAAGCAGTGATCTCCAGACTCCCAAGATATTTAAGCCGATCGTGGTGGTAGGGAGCCACTCCAAAGCATTGCACCGGTACTTGTGTCGCACCACAGACTGACAGAGGTGGTTTTCCTGGGTCACAAAATGGCACCAACATTTTCCGAGGAGGGCCAAATTGTTGAGCCTCAAGCTACGGATACCCAGACCCCCTTGAGAGTTAGGTGAGCACACCCTAGCCCAAGAGATAAGATGGTATTTACTTTCCCCTTCCCCTGACCTGAGGAAATTCCTCATGAGTTGCTCTAGGTGATCCGCCACCGAGGTAGGCATAAGGAACAGAGAAATCTGAAATATGGGAATGTTGGCTAAGGTAGCTTTGATAAGTGTAAGGCGACCGATGGGGAACAAATACCTTCCCTTCCATCCAGCCAATCTAAGGTCGAATTTATCGACAATGTGGCTCCACTGGTAGGCTTGGGTTTCCCTAAACAGAGGGGGAGGCCGAGATATGTAGAGGGCAAGTCCTCAGTCCTGCATCCCATGGACTCTGCAAGAGATGTGAGAACTTGGAGATGGACCAATATTCCCATAATCTTGGTTTTGTTGAGGTTAACCCTTGAGGCTGTACCTATTTCAAAGCATTTAAGGAATAGTTTCAGGTAGTGAATTTAGGAGGGGTCCGCATCACATAACAATAAAGTGTCGTCCGCGTATTGGAGGTAGGATACTTCTGGTCCCCCCTACCCACCTTGAATCCTTTGAGCATGCCAGCTCGGTAAAAGCCCGAGATAGATTGATTGAAAACATTAGCTATGATAGAGAAGAGGAATGGCAAGAGGGGATCACCCTGCCTCATGCCCCTAAAAGACAGGAAGAAACCTCTTGGCAATCTATTGACAAGGACAGAAAAATGTGGGTTGGTGATGCATCCAGAGATCCACTTTCTCCATCTACTGCCAAAGCCCATCTTGAGCAGGGTTTGGTCAAGAATATTGCAATCCATGTGATCGTAAGCTTTTTCCCAGTGGATTTTAATGATCACCCTTGGGATTTTGGAAAGATGACATGAATGGATACATTCGTGCACCACAAGGGCACCGTCCAGGATAGAAGTTTATAACAAATGGTCCTTGGGTCGGATAAAAGACCCAACCAAGGACAGCTCTAAGTCTGGAAGCTAAGACCTTGGATAGAAGTTCATAGGAGGTGTTAATGAGGCTAATGGGCCGGAATTCTTTGAACTCTTCCAATTTTTTATTTATTTGTTATTATTTTTTAAAAGATGTATCGAAGGTTAGAGAGCTAGTCAACCAAAACTGGAGCCCTCACCAACTAAAAACTTAAAACCCTAGTCCAGTCCTAACAGCATTCATTGCTCAGGCATAAAGCTGAACATGCCTTGCCGGTTTAATGAATATCCAAGAAGAACTTGAAGATTTGATCCAACAGATCTTATGCATATATATTTTAAAACAAAATAAAAATGACTAAAATTTGCCTAACGTGGGTAGGCTGATTGCATCCAAATGCTCCCCTTACAAAAGGGGCGGCATATTTCCATTGGGAGATGAAAATTCCCATACCTAGCTGCCTCACTCCAAATAAAGCCTGACTTCCCTATCAGACATCTTAAACTAGTCGGGACAAGATATTAAAATTCTACAACACCTCAGCAAACTAGCTCACCTAATGATATGGCAAAAAGAAATAGTATGAACTAAAATGAAACTTCAGGTTATCAACTCCACCATTTCAGTAATAACATATAACATTATAACAGCAAAAAGAGTCATTAACTCTTTATGACGTATGATCAACTCAACTGGTTTGTAAAACTACCATAAATACAAAAAGAATCAAGCCGCCAAAAACAACACTTACCACACAATATCTTACCCCAGCAGCTCGAGCAAGGCACCATAATTCATACCTGTAGCCCTGCAAACCATATAAATACAGAAATTTGAAGGAAAGTTGTTGTTAACAAATGACCATAAAATTGAAGGAGCGAGTTAAAATCATGCACTACATGAAGCAACAATCCTTAGCATGTCATTTGCATATGCGACATGTGATGAAGATACAGTGGGAAAGCAATGGTTTTTTTTTTTGAAGAAATATTTATCTAAAACATTGGCTAATTCCTTGGCCTTGAACATACATACAAAGTCCTTTAGGTATACTATAATGAACAAACAAAAAGAATCTTGTTTAAAAAAAAAAGAATAAAAGTATGAACAATTAAAGAAGAACCATCTCACCTTAATGTTATTTAGCGAGTCCACAATAACAATACTATCCTTGGTTAAGGATCTGTCAACCTCTGATCTCAATACACCCCTAACGTTTTTCTCTGCTGGCATATCTGATAGACACGGAGAGAGAGAGAGAGTCTGCCATTAAAATTAAAACAAAAAATTTGAAAATGTTAATATTAAAATTAGCCAAAAAAAGAAAATTTCAACATTATAAATATGCTACATCAGTTCATAGAAGTTTAGTCGTGAATTGCTTATATTGTGAAATGAAATCCATTTAATACTAAGTAGCATCTCAGAAGAGGTTGATGAAGAAATAAGACTCAGATGAATAGGGTATCACTCAACTTAAAAGAATACAATTATCAACAAAAGCAATCAAAGAGAACCCACAAATTCACAAACGTCATATAGTTAATTGCTTATCGAGGTAAATGAAATCATTGTGCTATTAACTGGCATATCATTAGAGGCAGAACAAATACCAAGGGTATTATAGAATGTAAATTATCAGCCACAAAAAAAAAAAGACAAGAAGAAGAAGAAAACCCAAGTTCATAAGAGAGAGAGCTAGAAACTTGAAAACCATAGGTTGGAAACAATGAGTTCCATGGACAGAGAGGAATTTGTCGATTAGTTAGAGAGGAACCTAGAGAGAGAATAAGATGAAGAATTGAAGAGAGAGACCACAGTTCTTGTTCACCATAGAGAGAGATTAAGATGAAGAGTTGATGAGAGAGAAAGAGAGAGGTGCACTGTATACCCTTGTAGCTTTCATTTCGTTCCAAGTGCAGAGAGGGCTCGTCAATGATTCTCACATTTTTATTGTTACAGAGATTTTGCTGAGAGGATTCGCTGAGCAATAACCGGAAGAGCGATTGAGCGACTGTCGATTTCCCGCTGCAAGGCTGACCACACATCAAGACCAGTGCCATCTTTCTCAATTTCCCGGCAACGCTCTGTAAGTTCCGGCCAAGCTTCGAAGATTCCGGCTAAGCTTTTGCAATTTCCGGTCAACTAATTGCGAAAACTTCAGTTCAAGGACGAAGGAATAACTCTCCGCTCATTCCCATATAATATGGGAATAAGAAAAGGGATCAAGGACGAAAATACGTCCCTTTAACTATTGGGCGAGAGCAAATATATACTATGCTCCCGCAGAAACATATTGCACTCTTTTTTTTTTTTTTTTTGGGAACACGCCCTCAATAGTTTTTATTTGAAAAGTTTATATAAGGTGACATTATTAGTAGGTGCACCAAAAAATTCTCTAGAAGACAAGGTTCTGAGGGTAAAAAACCGTCTATTTAATTATCTCGACATCATGGTGTATGGATATCAAGGTAGTAAAATTTTAAATCATAAAAGTAGAACATCTTGTAATAAGTTATTTGAACCAAACGAATTCAAGTGTTAATAGATCTAATCTATACTATTTTTTAACTTTAAAATTTTACAACTTATATGAATGGATTTTCAAGCCATCCAAGGTTTTTGACACTAAAACTATATCTCGAGGCAAAATTTAACCATGCCCTTACTTCTACATTGCAAATAGGGCACCTTATATAAATTTCAACCATTTTTCAATCCACTGATTATTTTGAAAATAAGAATGTTATTTTGGGTTTTTCAGCACTTAGATCTCACATTTCAATGATTGCAAATGATGTTTGTTCAATATTGAGATGTTATCTTGGATGGTCACATCCCAAATTTAGAGCCCTAAATTACGATTTAGAAGAGGGAATAAATAATAATATGCTCCTATTAGATCATGAGATCTTTTTACCTTTAGGAAATATTAGTGGTCGCTCGGGACTTTTTTATCACATGATCTGGCACTTAAAAGTCATAATTGGGGGATTCTTAAAACCTAGGATCCGATTCTCTTAAATGAACGACCGTTCTAAATGTAGGATGAAACTTATTTAATTTTTTCTTTTTCCTTTTGCTTTTTGATACGTTAATAGTGGGGATAAAGGGGGAGAGGTTATGTTGAGGCATTCAATCCCCTAACCACCTATGCTCAGATACCATTCCCCTCAATTTCTTTTTCATTTCCTTTCTCAAATGATCTTTAGGCTATCATGATTATATATGACACTCGAAAAGGATTGATAGGGTAGGAGGAAACATAATGTATTTTGGGATTGTATACAATGAGACTATTTATTTTTTATACAATGCGGTCATAATTACTTACAACCATCCAATGTGAAATTTGAGAGTTTGGGTGTACCATAAAGTTCGAAAAATTTTATTTTGAAATTTGAACTTGATCAATAGAATAAATGCAGCCACCCAAATTTACAACCAATAGTCAAAATTAATTGTGACCGCCTTGTATCAAAAGTAAATGATCTCATTATATAATTTTTCATGTATTTTATTGGTGTGCACATCATTTTTTTTGGATCATCATGAATAGAGTTAACAAAAGGGAAAGTTATGTTGAAGTCCCTACTATAGATGATACCAGGTGTATCCTCTCCAAAATCCACCTAAAGGATGGATTTTAGATCCAATTTTTGTTGGATCTATAAACAAGACTATGGAGATCATGACTATAAAAGAAAAGATGTTTTAAAGTTTATTTATTTTATTTTATTTTATTTATATAGCAACCTTAATTAATTGAGAAAATATTATGATGATGAAAATGATATTTTTTAATTTCATGTACCCCTTGTTTAGATTTTGGTTGGGTGCCTCTTTTTAAAGTCCATCCTGAAGAGGAACATTTCTTGTTCAGGAGACGCATGCATACCGTGTCTCATAGCATACTTTCTTTCTACTATTATAATTAAAAAATAGTCATAATATCTAACATTTCAGTCTTGCTTTTTCATAATTTTTTGTACTTGTTTTAGCCCCGGTTTGGATGGTGGACATGAAAGTTAATCTTTTAGCTAAAAAAG